TTATTGGAGAAAATTAGTTGGGTTTGTCCTGTTATCTATCAGAGAAGGCCGGTTCCCCCTTTGAAGGAAAGTCGACTCGAAACGGAGTGCGCCTAGAGCTGCGCCCGCCCGGAGGCATTTGGCGACCAGAGCTCCTCCACCCAGCCGCTTCCTCTCCAGCAACCGCACCGCGCCGTGATGGCCTCCAGCCTGGCGGAGGACCTGCTGTGCCCCATCTGCCTGTCCCTCTTCCAGGAGCCCCACATGCTGGGCTGCGGCCACAACTTCTGCCTGGCTTGCCTGCGCAGCGCCGTCCCCGCCGGGCAGGAGGAGGCGAGCTGCCCCGAGTGCCGCGGCCCTTTCCAGCTGCGGGAGCTGAAGCGCAACAGAGCCCTGGGCAACCTGGCCAGGAAGGTGCGCGGCTGGAAAGGGGACGAGGATTCCCTCCTGCAGCCGGGGATCTCCGCGGGGCTCTGGCACTTCTGCGAGGCCCACGACGAGCCGCTCAAGCTCTTCTGCACCCAGGACGAGGCGCCCATCTGCGTCATCTGCCGCGACCTGCCCCAGCACCGCGGCCACGACTTCCTGCCCACCAAGGACGCCGTGCAGTTGGCTCAGGTTGGAGCCGGGGGTGGATGCGCTGAACTGGGGAAGGGGGTGGGTGGCTCGCTCCTTTCACACAACTTCCCGTCTGACGATTGTTGGTGACCATCGTGGCTACAGCCAGGCTGAGCCGCACGTTTCCTTTCCCCTATCGTTTGAAACGACTTTTCCTTTATACAGATTGCCGCCGTTGGAGCCACCCTTGGAAATAGCGATTTTCGGGGCAATGAAAGAGTACCTCTCCGGTGGCCCCCTCGCGAAAATCGCCACCTTGGTGGCTACAATATGTGGGGGGCAACCTTTAAAGCGATTGCGAAATTTATGGGTGCCCCTCGCCTTTGATTCCTCATTTTTTCGCTGCCTTTCACTTAAATTCATCATGTGTGGATTCCTCGATGTTGGGTTGTTGTTTTTTTAAGCAGCGCTGTGGGGAAAATTATCTGCCCAGAAGCGCACACAATTGCATCTCTTCACACCTTGAAACAAATGCGTGTTAGAGACATTCGCAAGCACGCCCCGCCCTCCAGCACGATAGCTCTTCTTCCCATGCGCGATCACGGCTTTGCCGGGCTTCTCCTGACCAATAGGGATGCGGGACGTCCGCTTAAACCGTGCCCCTGGATCAGATTACAGCTTTTATGAACGGGCGGTGTGCTTGGTTTGTTTCCGAAACAAAAGCCTTGTAGTAAATTGTCTTAAACCTAATCTTAACTGATACGAAACAACGTGCAAGCTTTTGGAGGGCTCCAGAATTGTTCAGGAGGTAAAACTATACCCACGCCACCCACCCCTTGTGCGTAGGCGATAACCTTTTCCCTTTCTGATCAATGCTCCCGCTAATCCTT